AAGATACGAAAGTCACATTTTCTCTCGTCTCGCCAACAGGACCAAACTTCTGTTGAAAACCTGAATCTTGTCAACTGTTACAGCGGACTGAATTGTCACACTACTTCTGATGTACATATCGGCGCCGTCGGCCGCCTCCTACCTATCAGTGGTACGCTATCACCCATAGCCTTTCCGGCAAGGTGTACACATCACTGATGGTCTCTCTTATTTTCCTCACCCATCCGGTCACCGTTCTACCTAAGGATTTGTCTCGTAACCCAACCGTATCCCCCGACTGTTAGAAGTCAACTTTCATATGTCAACTCAGCTCCATCTTATCAGAGACAGGTGATCATCGAGTCTATATTAACTACACTGTATACTTTCTCCTCTAATGTACAAGTATAAATGTTTGTACATCTCTACAGTGATACGAGTTTGTATCACTGGATACTGTCTCCTCTAGATGCATCAGGTACAGTTTATCCGCCATTCGAGAATGGTAGAATGTCGACAACGCCTATGTAGAGCAGGAAGGTGACGGTGAGCTCAACAACGACTACGTCGGTCCAATTGCTACCCTCCAGGTTCATGATGTCACTCTTGCTATACTCTAACCATTCCCTTTGTCGGTGTAATTCTATCATGCGAATATCAGTAATTAATAGAAACCCTCGAATATTATTTTCCGTGAAGATATGATTCTTGCTGCGATTAGTAGCGTCCAGGGTTGAAGTATGCGTGATTATCCTGCAGCAGCGCGTGTCATGTCACTAACTGCTATTATCACCCTCAGCAGTCACAACAAGAAACATTGAGCACAGATAAATCTATGTCCTCACTAATTCAACGCAACGACTACGAACTTGACAACCAATTTGCAATAATGCACACTCACAGTAATGCCGGCGAATGCTGTTGGATTATCCCATACCTGACGATATAACATATATATGCATTTGCTTTCCATCATATTTCTGCTCCAACAACACTCGAGACAACACCTCTTGTATTGGACAGAACTGGGGTGTCGAATCGGACATAAGACTCCTCTCTTTCTGGGCTATGACAGCACTGCTAGTCAGTGTTGAGTCATGATACCACATCATGGCTTCAAGCATGTTTAGGAGTGTCATTCTTTTCTGCTTCTCTCTAAGGGCGCTCTCCGGTTGACGCTGCGTAATTCTGATGGACATGATGATATGTCCGATTGTTGGCGTGTGCCCACACAATGGTTGCAACCAATGTGACACTATAGTGAATATTTAAGCGCAGCGCAGTAGTGACTCACCTCCCCTTAACGACTTCAACTCGGCAACATCTACAGGAGAGTGAGAAGTCTGCTACACGATGCTACACTGGTTCGGACATCATCAATCTTGAAGGGGAACTCGCTGTGCTGTTAGCTTTCGAATCTTCGGACAAGATAGTTTTCACCGGCTCCCCTCCAACGACGTCTGTCGGGACAGACGGTGCTGCTGCAACCTGATCGATTATACCAATGATGTCGTAGAGCCTCCTGTTGCCCACCCACCTGCTCCTTAACAGCAATCACGTCAATATCCTGTTGCTCGTCCATGAGCTTATCGAGCTCAGCCTGTAGGTCGGGATCCTGTTCTACTGCAGCACCACCATTCAGAGACATCGCCGCTATGGCATCCGACACCAGCTGGAGGGAATCCCTCATAGATACAGTCCATAGGCCAGAGCTCACTTCTATGTCTTCTCTCACTTCCTGCATGTCCTCGGCTAGCTTATCAACGTGTTCCAAGTCGACCTAAACCGGAGCATCACTCCAGAATACTATCGTAGAGAACCACTGACCTTCTGTTCCTTTGCCATCATCGTGCTTGCCGAAAGAGCCTCAACCACTATACTCTGTATTTCAGCTGTTGCTGTGAACCCGCCTGACAGAGTCGCTATAGGCTGCTACTTCCTCCTCACAGCGAAGGCCTTACTAGTGCTCTGGAGCTGAAGACGATATTTACCTAGCTCGTCTAGTCGGCCCTGTAGTAGAGACCGTTCCTTCAATGCTTGCAACGCTAAAGGCTTGCGACCTAGCAGGGACAGGACGGTGAGATTAGCAAAGATCATCAATGCTACTCACCAGCACGAAGGTGTTCTCGAGCCCGACTGTCAGCCTTAGACCATGCAGCTGTGAGGGACTCCTGACATGTGCCCTACTGCAAACGGCTCAAAAGTCACCAGAGTGGTCACCTCCATGGTGTCGATTCTGCCCAAGGCTATTCTATGGACCAGATGTGCCTTATCGACAGGGCCTGCTACTGTAGGGCTGCCCACCTACCATCGAGTTGGGAGCTTCACGACAGGGCTGTTCACTACCTTCACACCCCGCAGCATCCCCGAGGTCGTACCCACAGTATCACAGAACACTGAGGCCTTCCCGACCGACGCCATGTATGCTAAAACAGCCTCCTTTGCCTTCCCACAGGCTGGGACACTAAGCCCGAATCCAACCGAAGTGGCTCTCACTGAGAGGTCCAACAGAAGTAGACCGGAGACCACACAGTCAGCGTACTGCTCGTTAGTTCCTCCTCCACAATGTGATCGAACTCTTGCAGTGTTAAGACCGAATTGTCGTGAGCAGCAGAGGTCCTCCTCAACACTCTGGCCGTTAGCTGGGATAGTCGCCGTCTCGAGAACAGTACGGTATCATCTCCTACGTCTAGCATAGGATTAACAAGAATAGTCTGCAGCAGACATGAGTATTCCGAGTGCTACCCTTTTCATCAGCTGTACTATCACTGCTCCAGAAGAGTCCTCGGACGATGCCTGCCATTTTGGTGATCAGTCCTGACCTAAAAACTACAGACTCGCTACAGTTCTCCCAGGACGCGCTAAAGCCAAGGCCTCTATCACGAAGCTCACCCCGCGTTGTTCTCAGCGGCTCCTGCTACTGCTGTTACTGCCGGTTGAGACCATAAATCCGCATACTCTCTACCCGTCTGTGTCTCGGTCAATATCTCGTTTGACTCCGCTATGATGGCAGGCAGACTCGGCAGGGCTTGCCGAGGGTTCACATACCGGGCCCACCACTAAAGGAAGGCTCCTCCTCCTACTACTACCTCATCAGGGGGAGGCCTACCTTCCGCACCTCTGTGCATGTCGTCGCTACACCTCCTTCATATTGTAAAACCGTTGAGATTAGATCAGACCAGTACTTCACTTTATACGCTTCATTGTCATGACCATTGTATGTGCTACATACCTGACCGAAGGGCCTCCCCTCTAGCACCACCGGGTACACCACCGCACTCGTGATTGGTTGAAGTTGTTGTCGAGCTCGAGCTCCTGTCGTAAGGGCAGAGGAAGGCAGGCGCTGCTACTGGGCTCCCTGCTCATCGACATTGATGCCACACTAGGACTAGTTCTGTGAAAGGGGAAGCCCCTATAACGAAGCCAGACCGAGTCAACGAGAAACTGTAACAACTCAACATGCACTAAGCCGTGGTAAGGCGAACTCATTTACATGCGTGTAATACGCAGTTCCTGGGCAGACCCGGCTGTTGATCCTCGAAAGCGGCATAAAACCCTTCCGTACTAACACACTGGACCATCTATTAAATTCTCAAGTACAATGCTACCGCTATAGCACTCAAATATGGTATATACTCATTAACCCTCTTCCGCCTGTCCCGCCTGGTCACGATGGGCCCAACAACTGCCTTAATAAGCTCTATAAGATACATCCAGCCTTCTGAACTTACCCCAGCATGATGCTTACCCATCTCCAGATGTCCACACACCGTCACCCTCAGTGAAAAGTTCTCGCTGGCCTTCAACTACAGCTCTCTATCGACTTCATACCACCCTGTCGGTTACTATGAACAGATGAAGCATAGAAACCTCACCATCCTTCACAGGAATGCTCCCTCCCTTGCTAGCCTCCTCTGCTAAGGCCATTATCAATGGCATCAATGATAATGATGCTTCGGAAATTGCCCCCTCCCCTCCTTAGTAAGCGACCAGCCTTCCTCTGGACAGCGGGAATAGAAACATGCAACAGCCAAGCTCATGGGATCATGACGGTGATATAATGCAGGTGGCAAGGTATGATAAGGAGCGACCGGATACCCCAGACGGATGTTTCTTGACAACTGATCAACGCAAGTCGGCGTGATAAGACATTCATCACTATCTCTATAACCTCGAGCGTTCAACTAAGCAGTGGTGGCAAGAGGACAACAGCAGATGGGGGGGGGGGGCCAGGGCATCACCCGAAGATGAGACAAATGATAAAGAAAATGATCATGATGATGACGAGGACGTTGTTGATAGCAGTTCATATCAAGTGTCATCCCTTCCCCGTAAATATAGGGGGACTATCAGCCGGACCGCAACATCGTCGTGACTCATCATCCTCTTGAGGGGAGCCCCCTTGGGCATCCCATGCCGTATACTCATCTACTTCCGTTAAGCCATACCTAATCACCACACTACCTCTCTACTCCAAGGCAACCCCTATTACAAGTCATCAAGGCCCAATTCTACATCATCCACTGGTGACCCCAGAGGTATTGATATATCATTCACGCTTTGAGTGCCCACAGTAGCAGCACTCGGAGTAAGCTCAGTATCCTTGGCCTGAGTGCTCATCGCAGGCTCGACGGCCTTGGTAAGCACAGGACTATGCTTCTCGCAGCTGACAGCAGCCTTATGCTTGCGCTTGTGAGAATCCCCCGAGGACTTCCTCTGACATAAGTTGACTTCTCGACACCATCTATTATCGTTCCCTACCTCTTTCCGACTAGACTTGCTATTCCCTTTGCTATTACTGCTTCTACTGCTACTACGACCTTTAGTGACGTCCTCTGTGTAATGACGTCTGAACTTGGTCCGGCAATCGGCAAGAACTTGCCGAGCGTTCCGAATAGCTGAACTCTCCTCGTCGACATGCGTATCTTAATTCAGAGAAGACCGCTATCCTACAAGTAACTCTAGGATACTATTACCCTCAAAGGAGAGGAACACTTCAACATCATCCACGAATTCCGATAGTACACCTCCATCGATATCGGCTCGGGTAAGCGATATACACGTAGCTTGGTCATGATAGAGAACCCCTGGGGAAGGTAGGGGGACACGGAACACAGTGTGAGGTCCAGGATAAGTCCGTAGTCTGAGGATGACCTGCGAGACGAAAATACTCGACAGTACGCTGAGCTATCTCTAATAGTAGTACATCCTCGCTGATAGGAATACCACCATTGGGTATTGTGAAGGTAAGGATGGGCTCATCGACTCTGGACTTCTTAGCCGGTGCTGAGTCATCTCCCACAGGTTCCCAACTTGAATAGAGCTTTCGTCCCTGCTGCCATAGGTCTAGATACGGCCTCCATCCTACCTTAGAGGTAGGGTTGGCCAGAGGTGTGCTATCTAGAAGCAGGTAACAATATCATGGACAACACCAGCGACTATTAGTACCGCTATCGCAATCATCATTAGCCTTCACAACAACCTTGACGATATTCATGCTGACTGGCAAGGGGGTTAGATAATCTCCCCCCGAGTCGGAGCTGTCCTCGTCACTAATACTACGGCTGCAGATGCAGCGGTAGAACTGAGAGAGATACCTATCAAAGGCATCAAGCATAACTAGACTTTCGTGGAGTCCACCAGAGACATGCAGAATGCTATTACCGTCTCTGGCTCGGCAACAGGTCCTCTTCTTTCAATGGTAGGGACTTGCATACCCTGGGCACTGCATCCAATGGATGGCTGTAGTCGGCAGGAAAGAGCCAAAACAGTAAGCATGCCGATACTACAGCCGTACGAGTAGGCAACCCACTAGGAATACAGTGTAACTAAGCAGGGATGTAAATACGTAGAGTAAGCAGTCCCGGTACTTCTACTACCGCAACACATCGCGTTGGATCTCCACGGAGCCACTCTTCGACTTGGAGGCATATCTCAGCAGTCTTGACGAGAGGGGGATACGGAAGCCCAGGGAAGACTATGTCTACCACTGAGGTTTCTATGGTTGAGAATACCTCTGAAGGGTCGTACCTAGAAGTCGATCATGGGCTGATTACAACTCGGATCCATCTAGGGCCTACTTTCGTTCTGACATGTTGAAAATCTTGCAATCGCCCGGGAACGCCGCGGCAATCGAGGAGACCCTATTCTTCTCAGGGAAGGGTATTAGAAATATCCGAGAAGCAAGCTTCATGTTGATGTTCCTCTTCGGGGGCTTCTCGGTAGGCAGGACCGTTGCTGCGACCTTACGATAGTCTCGATGGAGACCCTCAGCTGCCTGTCAACACCGCGATTGATAACCACTACTACTACCGGTCCTTTCACCTGTTGGACTGCCGTGGTCACTTTACCTCCCCACTCCGTTGAGGATACCTAGGGGATAGCAACTAGAGAAGGAAGGGATATGGCTTCCTTGTAGTACTTGGTTGGCCAGGTCGTGGGCCTGAACCTGTAACTTGGCAGCAACATCCTTTGATTGGCTCTGTAAGGCTGTAGCGAGACCTTGGCCACCTTTCCACAGAGCATCCCATTTCCCTCCATCAGTGGTATCATCAGGACCACTCATAATAATCAAATATGGAGGGGACGTACCCTCTATAACTATTAGCGATATGGCTGCTGATAGTAGACTTGTTGCGCGCGATCGTAAGCGCATGATGCCCGGAAATCGGGCGCGCGCTTTTTGATGCACATGCGTGCAAGGTGACGGCAGACGCCGCTCATCCATAAAGGAACTTCTGTGACCGCAACGTGGCTTCTTCGCGAAGCTTAGGGAGCATCCTCACTGCCGAAAGGCTCGTCGGTTGGCTTCACTTATTGCACTCAATTGGATTATCGTGAATAGGGTGATCAGCGTGATCGAAAGCAAAGCACATCTCGGGATCGTGGCATAGTTGCCCCGCTTCAAGGAACGCATCGTACTTGAGTATATCTCCGGATCGTGGCATAGTTGCCCCGCTTCAAGGAACTCATCGTACTTGAGTATATCTCGGGATCGTGGCATAGTTGCCTCGCTTCAAGGAACGCATCGTACTTGAGTATATCTCCGGATCGTGGCATAGTTGCCTCGCTTCAAGGAACGCATCGTACTTGAGTATATCTCCGGATCGTGGCATAGTTGCCCCGCTTCAAGGAACGCATCGTACTTGAGTATATCTCGGGATCGTGGCATAGTTGCCCCGCTTCAAGGAACGCATCGTACTTGAGTATATCTCCGGATCGTGGCATAGTTGCCCCGCTTCAAGGAACTCATCGTACTTGAGTATATCTCGGGATCGTGGCATAGTTGCCTCGCTTCAAGGAACGCATCGTACTTGAGTATATCTCCGGATCGTGGCATAGTTGCCCCGCTTCAAGGAACGCATCGTACTTGAGTATATCTCCGGATCGTGGCATAGTTGCCCCGCTTCAAGGAACTCATCGTACTTGAGTATATCTCCGGATCGTGGCATAGTTGCCCCGCTTCAAGGAACTCATCGTACTTGAGTATATCTCGGGATCGTGGCATAGCTGCCCCGCTTCAAGGAACTCATCGTACTTGAGTATATCTCCGGATCGTGGCATAGTTGCCTCGCTTCAAGGAACTCATCGTACTTGAGTATATCTCGGGATCGTGGCATAGTTGCCCCGCTTCAACGAATTTATTGTGCTTGAGCATCCCTCGAGATCGTGGCATAGTTACCCCGCTTGAGAGAATTGATTATACTTGAGCATTCTTCGAGATCGTGGCATAGTTGCCCCGCTTCAAGGAATTTATTGTACTTGAGTATATCTCGGGATCGTGGCATAGTTGCCCCGCGTATGGGAATCTATTGTACTTGAGTATATCTCGCAATCGTGGCATAGTTGCCCCGCGTGTGGGGATTGATTGTACTAGGATATATCGTGATCGTGGCATAGTTGCCCCAGGCGGACAGCTTTGTAATACTAGGAGCGAAATAGACCTTGTATGCCTTGGTGTGGTATCGGTAATTATACTACCATAACGACTGTGTACCCATTAGGTCTGAGATCAACAACAACAACGACCCTTCACATGTGCCTATTTGATACCTATGGTCACTGGGAAAAGGATGCTCTACAGATCTTACCCTTTCTTGTTGCATGTCTGTGTTAGTGTTTGGTGGATGTGTTGATTGCCAGTGGCAATTTGCCACACTTCTCCCTTAACTATGTGTAATACTGTTGTGTTGTACAGTGCGCTATAGTTATGTCAGGTCACGCCTCGTTTTCCAGTCCCATTAATGGTGGCTTTCTCCTACATATTTGGTATAGGGCTATTGGCTGGGTCCGCAAACTCTATTATAGAGAAAATGATGTTTCAGAGTAGTGGTATCGGTATCGACGGCATGACCCATTTCTTCCAAAAACCGTGGTACATGAGCTTGGTCATGTTTGTTGCCATGCTCCTGGCACTGCCCATGTACTATTGTCTACGCCAGAAAAGTGATAAGAGACCTTCCAACACTCTGCCTGAAAGTGGATCCTCCAATATCGGTCTCCGTATGTGCTTCACGGTATGCATCCCTTCGATATTCGATCTACTAGGATCCTCTCTACAAGCTATCGGTCTGGTCTACACCCCTGTCTCCGTATACCAAATGCTCAAGGGCAGTATACTTCTCTTCTCTGCGCTATTCTCGGTGCTTTTCCTCGGGCGTAAGATGTATCGTCATCATTGGGTAGGAGTCTTCCTTTGCTTAACTGCTCTCGTCTTGGTCGGAGTGTCCTCCCTCTCTTCGCGTGAGCAGCAGACCCAAGTCGTGAGCCTGCCGTTAATGCTTCTCGGTATCTTCATCATAATAGCAGGGCAAGTTGTGTGTGCTGCACAGTACGTTCTGGAGGAGTTCCTTCTCAAGCCCCCGAACGATGTAGCCCCAATGGCTTTAGTAGGGCTAGAGGGCTTCTGGGGAACACTTCTCATGTGCCTAGTCTTCGTGCCGGCACTACAGCATCTCCCAGGATCTGACGTAGGCAATGTTATGGAGAACACAGAGGACTCTTTCGTGATGCTGTCCAATTCCCCGACGTTGCTTATCTGTACACTGGGTTTCATCGTCTCGATTCTCGTCTTCAACATATGCGGCGTCATGGTTACCGCAGAGGCTTCGGCTATGCATCATACCTTCCTGGATGCTTCAAGGACCATCGTCATCTGGTTGGTATCAGTGCTCATGTAATTCGAACTCCTCCTGCTTAGGTCTTGTTCCCATCTGTTTTGTAGGTACTATGCAGCCCCTGGGAACGGATTGGGTGAGCCCCTCACTAAGTACTCCTGGGTTCAAGCTGTCGGGTTTGTGCTACTCGTATACGGCCAATTGGTCTATGACCAAGCTGTGAGGTTACCTTTCGGGCTTGGCACTAAAACAAGGGTAAGTAAAGTACATCGATGATGATGTCCTGAGCGTTTTACGTTTCTTCAGGTTTCACCGAGTCTAGTGCCTCTATCGGTACCTCTAGTCGCCTCACCAGCAGAGAGGAAGGTATCTCCCAGGTCACGCATGAATATGAGTGTTCAATCGCCCCAGACGGAACGCCTCCTTCTGCCATAGTCGGAGGTAACAGTCGATTGGCTTATGCCAGTCCCTGCTATCATCACTCAACTCAGTTTCGCCGTTCTTCCTGGTTAGTTTTGTTGACATTGTCACTCGAGTTGTCCCTAGAACTTCTCGTTCAGTCTGTCTTCCTCCGAATCTCTGGCCCAGAGACTCTGGGGCTGATTGGGTCCCACTCTGCATCGACAGTGGCAGAAACGACGTTATCGAGTGACTTAGCTCGCGAGAGAGAGAATAGCCAAGCTGTCTGTGAATGCGTGCCTCAGTATCACAACGATCAGGATAGTTAAGCCCCAGGAAAGCCGTGCCAAATATATAACGGTAGTACGGCAACTGCCTCCGGTTATATCGCCGAGACTAGCTGTACAGAGGTTGGTCTCATTCACTTCAATGGGTAACATGAGGTAGAGGATCTGATCGAAACTAGATGGGTTTCGCGGCCAGATGGAGTTGGTCGGAATGCTAGGCTCGGGAATATCCGATGTTGCCGAGCTGGTGGACGGTGGCGTTGATGAGATTAGCCCAGCATTGTCTTATCCCAGTAACCCGTCCCATCTGGATATTGCAGCATTAGAGTATCCTCAAATCTTCCTCCAGGGGGGTACTGGTGATTGGATAACACATAGGATGAAGCAGAGGAGGAAAGTACCAGTCACAATAGTCTATCTAACGGGCTCATCTTTGTGGTGGCTCAATGTAAGGAGGAGCTCGAACGCTCGGCACATAATGTCAAACGTACTAATAGTCATGCCTGTATTCATATATATTTCCTCTTTGATGTCCGCAACGATAGAGTTATATTGGTACCATATTTGTCGTGTTTCCCGCTCTCAATTCTCACTGTCTTGAGCTGAATGGGTTTCTCAGAGTGGTGAGTGGTCCCCTCGGTAGTTTACCTCCTGACAATGGGCTGGTTATGGGGAGCCAAGAAAGAGAGTGATGTTTCGTCTGAGACCAAGAGCAGTGGCAGTAGCAAGGAGATGCCTGCAGTACCAAAGGATGAACCGACATCATCACCTGAAGTCGACCCCGATGTAATATCGCACTTTGTAGCAACCTCTGTAAGAATCTAGAAATGATTTGGAAGAAACCCGTTTCCCTATAGGATGGTCGGCAAGTGGCAGACGCTCATAAGCAGGCCATTCAGTCGTGTAAGCATCTTAAGGATCGATACGACCAATGCTTCAATAATTGGTGTGTATGCCACTCATACCACTCCTTCGCCACATCATCATACTGTGTGGTCAGGTACCGGCATGCATTCCTTCGAGGCGATCTAGCCCTCTCGTGTGACGAGTACTTTGAGGAGTACCGTGCATGTCTAGTGGAGGATATGGAAGCTCGAGGCCTCGGACACCTGTGCATGTTTGGTCCGGACAAACCAGCTGACTTTGATGAGGGTAACGATTAACGATACTCTACCTCTGCCCTTAGCGTCTTAATGATTCCTATCTATCCCCCGCTTGCTGCGTTCAGTCACCATTAGCCACTGAGGCTCGTGGTGTTGTCAATCAGCAGTGCGCACTTGGACTGGGTGCTCAGGATGACAAGGAACATATAGACATGTGATTATAGCCCCCTCACTAGGTGTTCTTCTACACCACAGTCTTTGGAGTTGCCTACGGGTGACCGACCACTCTACGACTCTCGAACACAATCCATGGCGAATTCGCCACGCGACTGTTTCCTGTCAACTACTGCTCCACAAGCCGCCGAGAGCTGTTGCTCTCCCCCTCCTCCGTCACACTACGGGCCGCCAACTGTGGACTCGGGGTGGATGATGATGCCCCCACCTCCTCCTCCCCCTCCCCCTCCACCATCCCCGCCACCTGGGGTAAGCTAGGCCTGCTTATGCTTGTATATGCATGGTGGCTTTACTGTAGATAGCCATACCACAGGGTGCATGCATAGGGGGAGATTACGAGCCGCAGCCTCCACCAGCGATGCCTCCTCCACTCCTCCCAATGGGCCCGCCTCCCGGTAGCGGCTCACTCGCAAGCCACTACGATTACTCTGTTAACCAATGGGGTGACCGTGGTCCTTCCCAACCTTGGTTTGGTACCGCCGGAAGCAGTATAAACCAATCCTCCTCCAGTGTGAACGACATGCGTAGGTGAACCTCTAGTGGGCTCTGTATGGTCATCGTCTGTGGCAGGCCTAGTGGAGATGGCAGCCCCTATCCAGAGATATCCTGGGCCTGTTGGCAGCATACCCTACTCGATGGACAACGCACCACGGACCACCACAGACCTGGGCATGGAACGAGGCGACGACTACTCCTACAGTCAGTCGTGGGGGCCACCTGGGTAGACGCGAGCGTATGAAACAATAGTGATAGGGATGCTTATTTAGGCCTTACATACACTATCCTCCACCCTCGGTACCATCACCAGCAACGGAGTACTATGATCCTTGGGCATCCCCTCGGTCCCCTGTGTTGTCCCCAACTGTATCCTACTCCACTGCCACGGCTTTGGGTAGTTCGACATTGCCGCATAACGTGCCTCAGCAGCACTCAAGAGGAGAAGGAGGGGAACGTAGCCTCTCCCCAATGATCAATCCCATCATCTACGAGACGACCTCGTCTGCTGCTGCTGCTGCTCAGTACTCTGCCCTACCGTCAGAGCATGGCAAATACGAACATCCCTTCCGCTTGGCGCTGCCTCCATTACCGCCAGGCTATGCCGAACTCCCTCCCGCTTTGTTGGCTGCCAGCATCAGTCGAGGCTCTTTGGATAGGCTTATGGTGAAGAACATAGGGCAGTTCCCCTTTGATGACTTCCTTGCGTTGACTGATGAAGAGGTCCGGGCTTATGCTGAGGACCACGTCACATCCCTCTACTTACAGGATGCACTTCGTGCTGATTTCCGCAATGCCTCGCAGGTATGAGGCTCTCGATGTTGTTCATTATCATCATGCTCATCTGCTGTTCAGGTCTCTCGAGTCGTCGATCGACTCGTGCCGTTATTTCTACCACTCTCCTTCCACTCTATTGGCAACTACGTCTCCCAGGCTGTCCTCGAGGTCAGCGACATGGCTACATTTGAGCAGCTACTGAATACCCAAATCCTCAAAGGCCGTGCCTTGTTCGATCTATGCATACATCCGCATGGTACACGTGTTATCCAAAGGCTCATTAGTGAGGCCAACGTGCGCTACGGTGGATCGAATCAGCTACCTTTGCTGGGTGCCATCCGAGTATGCAGTAGGGAGCTAGCTATCGATGCTAATGGATGCTATGTGCTCCTCAAGGTGGGCTGGATGTCTGAACTCGGGGGGTAACGGGCAATGCACTGAGGTTAGATTCTCGATGTGATGGCCCAAAGTGGCTGGCTACTAGAATGCCTCCTGGATTGGTTCATCGAAATAAGCTGCTCACAATGGGGTGTCATTACTGCTAAGAAGGTTATCGAGAGGTGTCCCGCTGTAGATCGGGTGATGGAACACACGACAGCTGGTGCATATTTGACGACCTCCTTCCTCGTGTCAGGTTGAAATGATGCCGGATATGCAACAACATTATCCCAACGGACCGGGGTGGACAGAGCATCCAGTTGTTGTTGGTCGTTACACTTCGAGGTTGCTGGACGTAGGGCTGTGACTCGATCTCGTGCTTCAAGTTCCTCTCAGATATTTGTATCGGACTTCGTCGTTATGGCCAGACACCAGTACGGCAACTATGCGGTTCAGCATATCCTTCAGAGCCCGTCGCTCTCTGGCAGTACGCGAGGTGCATGCTCTCGCAGAGTCTCAGGTACTGTCTACGTCGATAGTCACCTTGTCCA